TTCAAATTCCTCTTTCCCAAATAAATTACCTTTTTCGACCATACTTGAGCAAAAACACACACACTGCTAACGTTGGCAGTTCAATTGCTCCTGCTATAGCATTGTTGAGGAAGAAATTGCCATCAAATACTGACCTGAACAAAAATTACCTTATTTCTCATTTTACAAAGGAAACATAATTTATCGTGACCAACCTTCCTGGTGATGACTGATCGGATAGCGCGATAACAAGTCCATAATATACAAGAGCAGTAGCAATCTAGAAATCCATGCATATTTGGCATTATTTGCGCTAGATAGGGTTAAGACTAACCCAAATAATGAATAGCATGATATTTCGAACACGCAGTTCAGGCGCGCGGAACAGGTGGAAATAGTGAGGTCGCTCGTCCTTTTTCATCCATTTCCTTTTTTCTGCATGTCGAACCTAATAATTTTGGAGAACTATAATATTACTTGACTAATATCTGCTGCTAGTTCTTTTCTTTTAAACTTACAAGTCCCAAGTCACTTGGTAGACGACTTTTGTTATTTTTACAGGCTTTGCGTATGATCTTCTCGGCATCCTCGACTCGGTTCATCAAAATCAGCCAACGAGGTGACTCAGGCAAAAAATGTATAAATACCAGTGCGATGCAATGTAATCCGACTGTTATCATCTGCATATAGAATGAAGCTTATAGGCTGTATTTTGTTTACAAGGCAAGAAGAAATATTTCAAAAGATTCTTACGTGGATTGCGGTCCATGACTTGGTGAGATAGGCAACTAATGCCAGAAAAGCATAACCGCATGCCCATGGAGCTTGGAGAAGACTACCAACGATAGAACGATATTTGACTCCTAAATAGAGAACGTTTTGCTTGTAGAATTCTGGTTGCACTACGTGTTTACACTCTGCCATTGCAAACGCGATTTCAGAAAAAGACGCATGTATATTTTTAAATTTGAAATATTCGAAAATTCGTTTTTAAAGTGTTTGCTCTTTGTTTCTAGAGACAAATGCGAAATACCCTAAAAACATTCGATTTAGAAATACAAAGAACTTAAATTCAAATGCATAATGTTTGAGATGTCGTTCTGGGCCCTGAGATACTATGAAAGAACTAAGCGCACATTGTTTAGACTTTTTTTTTACAAGTTCGGTTAAATCCAGTATGACTTGCCGCATTATTTAAAGTATGGTAAATTTGTCAAATTTGGCACAAATAACATTACATAAAGCTTGACTCAGCATTCGGGTTATGAAGGCTTTTGTAAGAAATTATGACAAATTTAGTGATTTAAAAGTCACACAGTTTTTGAGCATGGCATAGATGGGGCCTATACTGAGGACCTTTGGAATTTGGCAGAATTAATTTTCCAAG